AAATTGTTTTAAATCAAGATTTGGATTTAACATAAAAGAGATTTGTAAGGAGAGATGGATACGATTTTTTTTTGGCAATGCTATAATTTGATTTGTATAACAAATAAAAGAGATTTGTTAGGAAACAGATTTCGGGGATTAGTCTTTAAAAAGAGAACAGAAAAGAGATTCTAGGAAATTTCAAGAGAAAATTGAGTTATAAGAAATTAAAGTCACACTCCTCTCCCTTGTATATGTAGGATGTTAAGGAGACTTTCTTGGTGATCAATTTGCAAAATGTTGTTGTAATGCACTTTTAAATTAAGAGCATAAACCAGCAATGGATGGGGTTGGATGTGATATGCCATACTTTGTCCCCTCACAGTATCTATTCTCCTAATCTAAGACCGTATTGCAGCTTGAATTCTTCTCATTCTCAATTTGTTTTCTGCTTGACTTGCATTTCCCTCTTGCTGAGGTTTTTGGCTGCTGCAGTTTATCAGATGTATAGATTTGCAGCTATCTTTGAATGGCTATTGTCAATTGCATATTAGGCCTAATAGATCCTAAGCTTGGGGAGATAGATTTGTTTGCTGTTTTTTCCTTTTTCTACTTTTGGTAAGCATGATTTCTTTGCTGTTGATTCTATGAATTTTCGAGTTTGCTGTTATTTCGTTCAGTTGAGTGCTCTCTTTTTGCTGCTACCGGAACTATTATTAGTGTTACTTTCACTGTGCCTTTCACTGGAATTTCTTCCATCTTTAATTTGTGGTGAGTTGGTCTTTTGGAGATCTAAGTGTTAGGAAGCCTTGCACATTCAGTTTTAGATTAGTTCATTGATTAGTAGCATACATCCTTCTCATGTTGAGATTTATACCTGATGTGCTAGTTGCTGGAAGGCATCAAGAGAGTGAAGCATTGTCTTTTACTCGTTTTCCTTGCCTTGTGTTATACTTCTACAAATAAGTAACATTATAGTAAAAAAACAACCTGTCTTTCCTAGCCACTATCACTGAAGCATGGTAGGTTTTCGGCATGGAAGCGTGGGATTTGGCCATTTATTGTGTTTTGTGTTTCCCTTGTCTAAAAACACACTCATATATATATATATATATATATATATATATATATATA